CCTCCTCCTCCTCCTCCTCTTCCCTCCCCCTCAGCCCCTCTTGGCATTCTCTTCCTCCTCCCATTCCTGCTTCTCCTCCTTCTCCTGCTCCTCCTCATCCTCCTCCCTCTCCTGCTTCTCCTCCTCCTCCGCCTCCTCCTCCTCCTTCTCATCGCAGGCTGTGGCGGACGGCTCCCCGACGCGCAGGGGGCGAACGCGTTCCCCGACCCGTTCGAAGAAGAGTTCCCCCCCCCGCCTCCGAGAGCGACACCAGCAGGGAGGAGGGGGAGGGAGGAGGAATCGAGAAAGGCGGAGAGGAGGAGGGAAGAGGAAGGAGCAGGGGAAAGAGGAGGATGGAGGGAAGGGAGAGGATGGAGGAGGGGGAGGCGGGGATGATGCGAATGGAGGGGGGTAAGGAGAAGGGGGAGGATTGACAATTTTGTGTGGTTTGAATATCTCTCAGCCTCTGGAGGCCGTCGCAGGATGAGGGCGGAGCTGATTCGAGGTGCTCGGATTTGTTCGGGAGAAGAGGAGGAATCCGATCGATTCGAACCGAGCCCGGGGGGGAGTAATTCAAATCGTCCTCGTGAGATGCCTGGGCCACTCCTGGTACCCGTGCCAGCTTGTATCGCAGAGGCGGCTCGTATGGATCGGCCTGAGGACCTTTCTAGCGACGTCGCTGTGCCCCCGTGCTGGTTGGGGCACTGCTCTGGCGGCTGTGGATGCAGGAGGGGGTGAGGGGATGATTGTATTATGAGGTTGAAACACCTAAATCGCCCGAGAGAGTTTGCTCTAAGGGGCTCTGGAGTTGCCAGAGGGACTGGGGAGGAGTGGGCCAGAATTGAGGACCTGCTTCAAGAGATGGCCCTGCCCCGCCTCGCCCTCCACCTCCCTCTCTCCATCCCGTCCGTAGTCCCTCCTCGCCGTCCACCTCCACCTGGGGAGGAAGAGAAAGCGGCGGCAGAGAAGAAGGACACTCCCCCCCACGACCAGTCGATCCAAAGACGGCAGAAGGCCAATGGTGGCCTCATGCTGGAGCGCCGATCCAGGAACATGCAGTGTACGGTAGCTGAGCTTGGCCCTTGAGCCGGCACGGATGCGACAACAATGTGCGCACGGCCGCCACGTGAGGGGAAAGGGTCGCGGGGAAAACGGGTCCTGAAACTCTTCGCCGTGTTCCGGCTCTCGGGTCCGTTCCCGAGGCCCTTGGGTCGTCAAACAGTTATCCTGGCAAGGGACTCAACCTTATGCAGTTGTGGGTAGTGCACTTGGGAATCTCGCATTCGGTGGAGACCCCGAATTGGTGTGGACGGTGCGCCGAATCGGGCCTGGGGGCACATGCGGGCCCTGCCACTGGGGCCTTGGGTGGAATTCCCTATGGGGCCGCGAAACGTGTGAGAGGTGTGCCGACATGGGCCTGGTGACGCATGCGGGCGCTGCAACTGGGGGGCTCTGGAGCTCCATATGGGACTACGAAGCGTGTGATGGTGTGTGTGTGTGCGTGTGTGCCAAAATTGGCTGGCGGACTGCATGCGATTCCCCCTCCTCGGAGACCTTCGGTGGAGCTCTCCACAAGGCCACGAAACGTGCGACGGGTGTGCCGAGATGCTCGGGGGGGCCGCATGCGACCCCCGCCCTAGGGCCTTCGTTCGAACTCCCCATGGGGCCACGAAACGTGTGAGTGGTGTGCCGAAGTGGACATGCGGACGGCTGAGGCAGGAATTGGAGGAGGGAGGGGCCATCGGGAGGAAGGAGTGGATGAGGGGCGCTGTCTTCTCAAAACGAGGACCCGACACCACAGGATGCTTGGGAATAATTCAAAATCAAACGCTGCCCCGAGAAAGCCAAAACGGTTCAGAATCCATTTCCTTTGGGACTCCTCTGCCTCGTGCCAAGCACGGGGATCCACCTGGGCAAGAGGAGGAGGGCGATGACTCGCCGTCTTGAAAGAGCTGGCCTGCAGCTCAAGACGCACCACACTGTGGAAACAATATCCCGAAATGAGGCGCACAATGACGGACGCCCATTGCGATTGCTTTCAACATAATAGATCACGGAAAACGGGTATCACATGATCAGCAGGGCAACGAATCTGACTATAGCATGTCGAGCCTGACGTCGCAAACCTCGAACACACAGAAGCGTCCAATGATGCGATCGTAGCATACGTTATGGAATATGACACGGGCGTGCGAGGACGAACCCCACCTACACATGTAATGCGCGCGGGTCGGCATGACACTGTACCTCTGCGCGAGAGCGGCAGGCCAACATGTAACGTGATGTGCAGGCACTAAAGCAGACATGCAAGCACAGACAAGTTACCTCATCGCAGGCCCTTCCCGCCTGGAAGAACCTCAAGCAAATCCAATGGAAAATCGAGCATCTGCTTTAGCACAATTTCTCTCCGAACCGTGTGCAGAGACAAATCACGGTCTATCAAAGCCATGCGAGCCGTCAGGGCCAGCCCCGATAAACCCCGGGGCCGAGAAGTGGGTCCAAGCCTGGAAGCTGTGCAGCTCATCAATTCACTGTTTCGATGATGATGACGATGCTGAGGTGAGGGTGGTAATGGTGATGATGGTGATGATGATGCTGCTGATAACGTTGACGCTACTTCTGGTGATGACGATAACGATGCTGCCGCCATCATAACCATAACCAACATCAGCATCACCACTATCGTCGACATCAAAACCCTAGTAATCACCATCATCATGATCCCCTCCTCATCCTCATCCTCAACCGTACCATCATTATCCTTGTAGTAGTATGCAGATGCACCTTCATCTTCAATTTCATCAGCATCATCATCGACATTAACAGCTTAACCATAACCCGTATCGTCATGACCCTCTTAGTCGCATACCTGTGCATATTCATATTCCGTTTCAGCATCATCAGTATCACTAGTATCATCGTAATCGGCATCCTCCTCCTCCTCATCATCATGATCATCATCAACAGCAGCAGCACCAGCATCAGCATCAGCATCATCACAATCACCATCACGGGGCCCCTCGCGCTGAGACTATGTGCACAGCGGCCGCTGCCGATATGCGCGCACGGGCGGCGGCCCGCGCCTGCAGGGCCGCCGAGAGCTCCGCAGACCGCAAGCCCGTACCGCCAGCGTGGGCGCCTTGGCGGCCTGGTAGGCCGGCGCGGCGCTGCTGAAGCAAGCACTGGCAGCGGGCGCGCTTCTGGCGGCGGCGCTGGGCGCCCAGGCCGCGCGGCCGCGCCGGGCGCCCAGGCCGCCGTGGCCCTCCTGGCGCCCATGGCTGGCAGCGCGAGTGTGCCGTGCGGAGCGCACGGCCTTCCGCAGCACGGCGGGGCCGGTCCAAGGCCACAGGCACGCTGAGCCGCTCGCCGAGCCCGAGGGCACCGAGCACGAGGCGCTGGGCATCGAGCAGGTGGCGCAGGAGGACCTGCACGTGGGACCGATCGCCGAGCAGACCGAGGGCATCGAGCAGGAGGGCGTGGGTGTGGAGCCGATCGTCGAGATGACCATGGGGCACCACGCACGGGGCGCTGAGCTCCGAGCAGGCCGAGATCTTGGCAGCGGCACCGAGAAGCGCGAGGATCAGAAGGACGGGGAGTGCTCGGACGTCGTGGCACTTTACACCGCCAGGAGGGTCCCTCAGGGCAGCAATGTGGCGGCCGTACATCCTCCCGTATGCTTGCATGGAGGTCTGCTGCGTGGCGATGACCGCCCAGGTGATCGCGGGGTTCTCGGCGGAAGGGTGCACTGTCTTCCTCGTGGTCTACGCCACCAGGAGCATCATCACGTGGGACCACGCTGTTATCACCGCTTAGACAGAGTGGTGGCCGTACTTCCTCCCGAACGCCTCCTTCATGGCGTTCTGCTTCAATGCGATGCTCGCCCACGCGATCAAGATCAAGGTGAGCGGCGCCGCCGGCGCGGCGAGCGCTGCCGCGACGGTGGCGGGCCTGCACGCGTTGCTGACGGCGGCGGCGGAGCGGCTCGGCAGGGGCTGCGCCGAGCTCTCGAGGCGCCTGCGCAGGCGCAGAGTCACCAGCTCCGCAGCGCCGCGGCCGCCGCGGGCGCCTGCAAGTGCACCCGTCACTGAGGGCCGTCGCCGGTGGCCATCGGGCGGTGCAGGATGAGGACCGCAAGCAGCAGCAGCAGCAGCAGGAGGCGGCTGGGCTCGGCCCGAAAAACTTGGCTGGCGGCCCGCGCCGTCGGCTGCTCCCGCCTCCGGGGTCTGGAGCTCGTTCGACGCCCGGCCCGTGGGTCTGTGCGGTGGTGTCGATCTGTCTTCCATGCCCACTGCTGACCTCAGACAGCAGGAAGCGTAGCGGGCTGGCTGGTCGTCCGGCAGGCTGCCATGCGCGGCCGCCGGCGTCTCGGGCGTCGGGGGGCCTGTCCTTCGTCTCCCAACTCTGGGGCCCGAGGGCCCCCATGCGCGTACATCGAATATAGATCCAGAAAGGTCCATGCAGCACGGCCCCTGACACCCGTTGTTTCATCCTCCTCCTCCTCCTCCTCCTCCTCCTCATCATCATCATCATCATCATCATCATCATCATCATCATCATCATCATCATCATCAGCATCATCATCATCATCATCATCATCATCATAAGCATCAGCATCAGCATCAGCATCATCATCATCACCACCATCACCATCATCATCACCACCATCCTCCTCATCATCACATCATCAACATCATCATCAGCATCAGCATCATCATCATCATCATCATCATCATCATCATCATCTGCAGCAGCAGCGGCATAATCATCATCAGCAGCAGCATCATCAGCAGCACCATCAGCATCGCCATCATCGTCATCAACAGCATCATCACCAGCACCAGCACCCGCACCAGCACCAGCATCAACATCAACATCATCGGCAACATCATCAGCAGCACCATTGCTCTCAAACTCAACACCAGCAGTGACAGCATCCTCGTCGGCACCACCGTCATCGTCACCACCATGATCATCATTATCACCATCACCATCACCATCAGCATCAGCATCAGCATCAGCATCACCAGTAGCATCATCACCATCGTCATCATCATCACCATCATTACCATCAGCATCAGCAACAGCAGCAGCATTGTCATCATCATCGTCATCGTCATCATCGCTATCATGGCCATAATCGTCATCATCATCATCATCTTGCTCGGTCTCAAGATAACGTTCTAGTCTAGCTCGTCCTCTGAAACGACATGGGCGCCTGCGCACGAAAATCGTTTTGCCACCTCGGATGGGGAAACTGCCTCGTGTGCCGCGCCGCCGTCGCGGAGACACTGCACCGTGTCCTGGATGCTGATGTTCGTGTGCAGACGCGCAGTTCATCTCGGATTTCACTATCGCAGCTGACAGTGCCCGTGCAATAAATATGACGAGGATTATGATAAGTCTAATACTATTCTTCCTCACGCCCTTGCGGGCCTCCACGCCAACCCTGCTTTATGGCTTAGAGGGTTCCCCCGATCGACCACGCCCACCCAGTGTCTGAAGACCCTGCCGACGAGGGTCTAGTGACGCTGGGTCGTTCTACCCTCATAGAGCTCTCGAAACCAGTCTGTGAGGAGCCGCTGGTTGTGTTTGGTGATGGCTCCGGGGGTGCCTTTTCCTCGGACCTTCGTCGGAAGCGCTGTGGGGCTGCCGCTCTGGTTCTTTGCTGGAGCCCTGGGTCGGAAGAGTGGGAAACGGTTGGGGGTGTCTCATGCATCCCTGTGGGCCGCAATCAGGCCTTTTCCCGATCGGAGCATCCCGCCTTCTGTCTGTGCCTAGAAGGCACGACGGGCCCCGTCCATTTTATCACGGACCACTATCGCTTGATTCGGGGGTGGGAGGGCGGACGTGCGGGGGCGGTTGGTGGGCGGAACTGGGATACGTGGCTCGAAATTCAGACGGCTTGAAGATCTCGGGCTCCTGGCCAAGTTTCCTCAGAGCGGACAGCCTCTCATTTGGACCTCGAGGGCCCAGGACTTTCTAGTCACGAGTGTTTCGCTCTAGCTGGCAATCACTTAGCTGATATAGCTGCAGGTGAGGCTGCCTCTCGCTCCTGGCAGTTGGCATGTAAGAAGGAGCCCAGGACTGATTGTTGGGATGTGCCAGCCGCCCTGGTCAGGAGGCGAACCAGGCGGGTCCTGGTGGATTCGTGTTCGGCTGACCCCAAGAGGATCCGTTCGGACGGGCCCCCTGTTGAGAGGGCCCGGAAGGGTTCAGCACTTGACCAGGCTTTGCGCGCGAGTCCTCACCAGTTACTGGCCTTTGGTAAGATGTTTCGTTGTTCAGTGTGCGAACTCGTTGCCGACAAGAAGGCTCTTAAGGAGGTCTGCTGCTCTCCTTGCATCCCTGCCGTCGGCTTTGACCCTTTCCCATCTGATGTGGTGTGCTGTGTTTGCGGCCCTGTGCGGGTGGGGGGGACCGTTTTGCATCCTTCCCACCGTCTGGCCTTCTGGGACCTTCACGGGCTCTATTTCTGCCAGCACTGCGGCCGCACTGCCACGTCAGATGGTAGGCAACTCGCTGCCATCTGTCAGAACCCCAGCAAGAAAGGGTCTCAGAATTTGGGTCGAATTCGCAGGGGAGAGATGTCCTTCGTTTGCTGGCCCTTCTCAGGCCTCGTCCAGTCTTCGCGAGGCCAGGCTGCAGGCGGCTGCTGAGCAACGCGCTTGTGGCGCCAGGAGTGCCAGAGGAGTCCCTCGTCGCGCCGCGTTGGCACAGCGTGCGGAAGGAGGGCTCCCGACAACACCCACCCCGCCACCTTTGGCGACCTCTCGCCACCCTCCTTGAGGAGGGGTCGAAGGGCCGGGGGGGGTGCCATTTGTTTGGCAACCACCGCGGGTGTTGCTTTCTTCTCTCCGCCCTCCCTCCCCTTCCTTTGCACGTTGTGCTTATCAAAACGTTCCAAAAACGTTCCTCCTCGGTGTCTTCCTCACCCTCCCTTCCCAAAAGGGGCTGCGATCTGCGAACCGGTCACCACTTTCGTCGGCTCCTGGGAGGCCCAGCGGAGGGGTGCCGTACGGGGATCACCATGAAACCTCGCCGTCCCTGGGGGGCTGTGATCTGCGACACTGTCGCTCGCCACTTTCGTCGGCTCCTGGGAGGCCCAGCGGAGGGGTGCCGTACGGGGACCACCATGAGGCCTCGCCGTCCCCGGGTGGCTGCGATCGGCGAAACTGTCGCCACTTTCGTCGGCTGCTGGGGGGCCCAGCGGAGGGGTGTCGTAGGAGGATCACCACGAGACCTCGCCGTCCCTGGGGGGATGCGATCTGCGAAACTGTCGCCACTTTGGTGTGTTCCTGGGAGGCCCAGCGGAGGGGTGTCTTGCCGGGATCACCATGAAACCTCGCCGTCCCTGGGGGGATGCGATCTGCGAAACTGTCGCTCGCCACTTTCGTCGGCTCCTGGGAGGCCCAGCGGAGGAGTGTCCCACGGGGACCACCATGAGGCCTCGCCGTCCGAAACTGTCGCTCGCCACTTTCGTCGGCTCCTGGGAGGCCCAGCGGAGGGGTGTCGCACGGGGACTACCATAAGGCCTCGCCACCATGATCCGCGAAATTGTCGCCAATGTCGTGGGCTCCTGGGAGGCCCAGCGGAAGAGCGCCTTACGGGAATCACCATGAGACATCGCCGTCCCAGGGGGCTGCGATCTGTGAAATTCTCGCCACTTTCGCGGGCTCCTGGGAGGCCCAGCGGAGGGGTATCGTACGGGGATCACCATGAGACCTCGCCGTCCCTGGGGGTCAGCTTCGTGCGAAATTGTCGCCAGTTTCGTGCGAAAGTGTCGCTGCTTTCGTGGGCGCCTGGGGGTCCAGCGGAGGGGTGTCCCACGGGGACCACCATGAGACCTCGCCGTCCCTGGGGGTCTGCGATCTGCGAAACTATCGCCACTTTCTGGGGCTCCATTGGCGGGAGCTCCCATAACGCGCGGCGCTGTCCCGTCACATAGCGCGCTGCGCTGTTTGGCGGGATGGGGCGCCACGGAGCGCGTGGCGCTGTCATGTGCCCTTGCCATATCGACTCGTCAGTTCCATCTTGTCCGTAGTGCACTCGGGCACTTGCAGCGCTTCGCGCAGGGCGCTGTTCTGTCATAGCGCGCATGGCGCTGTTCTGCAATGAGAACCTAGCGCTATGCGCTGTTACTCTCACGAATGTCTCCAGTTTCCCCTGATCAGTATGTTCCCACGACACCTCATGGTCGCCTACCTGCCAACGATCTGACTCTTCAGATTGATGCCGCGAACTTGAAACATTATACTCTAGCCCAACGTTCTTTGGCGAAGCGTTCAAGAGCACGGCGGATCCTTCAGTGTTTGCTTTTGTATTGAACGGCCCGATGTATAGTCGCCTCATATGTACGAAGGGTTGGGTACGTCCCCGGATAATTTTATTTCCGAGGTTCGCGGGGACAGTGTGAACCAACGCGTGAACCACTGCATCTTCATCCATCAACGTACGTCCACGTAGCATGTGACTTCAGGATCCGTGCTCGCGCAATGCTGAAGAGCAGGCGTACCCCAGAAAAACGAGTCAAAAACGTCAACGCGTCTTGCTGCGCTGTCGACACGAGCCGCGCTGTCGATGTGTGCACGTTGGTGCTCGACTGAGCAGGCACCATGGAAGAACAATTTCTGTAACCCTTCTTACCTCTCCCGACTACCCCTCCTGGGGAAACCAAAAGGTACCAATACCGCTATTTCCCAGACCTCTCCCAGGGTGCGTTCTGACCAGAATTTCGAGGCGAACCCAGCGGAGGCGCCGATGGCCTCCCAGGAGGCCCCAGAAATGGAAAACGAGGCGAGGGTAGCGGTATGGGTACCCCTGACCTCCCCATACCCTATGCATGCCCACACCCAATCCCTCACCAGGCTTCTCACTCCAACCCATGGCCCCTCATAGCCTCCCCGCCCACCCCCCGCCCGCCCAGCGGGTCCGGTGGCGCGAGACACTGTGGGCCTTCGCCTCCAACTGGCTGAGGGGAGCACAGGCGGGCATCCCTGGAAGACAAATGAAATTAGGGTTTGGGCTCGGGCGGAGGGAAAGCCCCAAGTTCGAATTTGGAAACCAAGGGAAGCAAGAGTTCGAACACAAGTCAAAAGCTCAAGGAGGGTTCCAAAGCAAGTCCAGACGTTTGTGCAGAGTTTGTGGAAACTTTTGAACAAAACAACGTTTGATACGAGCTTGAACAAAGTTCACAAGTTTGGAACAGGGAGTTTGAACACTTCAAACGAGCTCTGGATGTTCGGAGCTTCTCGGCCGCCAGACTGTATTCAAACTTTTCTCGAACTTCACACTTCTCGCAACGCTGAAGTTGAACGTTGCAGAAAAACACTGCCTGGAACTTTCTTCCGAACTTGCTTCTTTTGATTACCATGAGGGCCGCCAGTGCCCCTAAATCAGTTCCAAGCCTTCGCCGCGCCAGGAGATCCGGGGGGCAGCCTGGGGAGGGAGCCGGGGGGGCCCTGAATTCTGGGCGCTGCATTTCTTGTCTCGCGCTGGGCAGATTTGCGCCCAGTCACGGGGCCTGGGATCCTGACGGACTGGTCCAGCTCGAGTGAGTGCCGCAGAGATGTGGGCTGCAGAGGGCTCCTGCTGCGATGTCCTCCGATTTTGCGTAATTGTTCGCGCTGTCGGTCCCCTTGAACACCCGGGAAGTCCGGGAGCAGTCAAGAGAGGGAGTTAAGAGGCCAACTGAACCCAGCCACCCTCCAAGACAGTCAAAACGTGTACTCAGGACGGTTGATAAGGACGCAAGGCCCCTGGAGGCCGAAGTTGGGACTTTGTGGGCGGCGGGCGACCAGCGAAAACGGCAAAGGATTGGCCGCTGAGGCAAGGACACAAGGCCACCGTAGATGAGGGCGCGCGTCCTTACTAGGCGCGTTGACTGTATGATTTGGGACGCTACGCTGGAAGCAGGGACGCTCACGCGCTGCCTTGTGGGAGCAGCTTAATTACGCGCCAAAGTCGGAGCAGACGATCTCGTGTTGTGCGTCGCTGATCTGACTTTGCCCAGCCTGCGGCCCAG